GATTTTCCGTTTTTCTTACTTGATACCCGTTTGGTTGACGGCTTATATTTCTTATATTTAACATATTTTTTCGGCTTAGATTCATTCTCTTCTTCTTCATCGGGTTTATCATTTTCCCCTCCATCATTATCGTTTTGTCCTTCGTCAGATACAGGTATAGGTGGTGGAAGATTTTCCGGATCTACGTACTTATTAGGTAAATAATTCCTATATCGATTATATCTGGTAGGATCTTTTGGTGTGTGACCATTAGATTCTTTATCGTTTGATCCACCATTACCGTTTTGTAATGCATTAGGAACAGGTATAGGCGGTGGAGTATTTTGCGGTTGTTTGAGATAATCAGGTAAATAGTTCCCATATTGATCATATTTGGTAGGATCTTTTGGTGTATTACCATACTCTGCTTCACCTTTTAAACCATGACCTTCTCCATAATATCTTGGTTTATAATGATGATATCCACCGAAAACTAAATCTCTCACTTCCATATCATATCTATCTAAATCATCATAATATCGGTGATGATGACTGTGGTTATTGTGTGGCCGATGTTGATCTCTGTCGCCATCAGGCCGCTCTGGTCCTCGAGGTTCTTCACGACCCGGAGGTTGAGGAGGTGGTATTTGTTGTTGTTGTTGACCATCATCAGGACCCCGAGGTGGTGGTGGTGGTGGTGGTGGTGGTGGTTGATCTCCATCATCTGGATTATGGGGTGGAGGATGTTGATGATGATCATCATAATTTCCTGAATAATGTTCACCATATAAATCATTTCCATTATTGAAAAATGAACTAACATCATCATCATAACCATCATATGAAAATCCTTGATCACTATAAATTAATAGTATACATGTAATCAAATAAAAATAAATTAATTTCATATTTTATCGCCTATTTTTTTCCTTCTTCTTAAATAAAATTAATTTTATTCAATTTCGATAGATGACTGAATTATATAAACTAAACAATGAACATTTAAAAATAATTCAATTTAATAACTTATATTTATATACAATTAAAACAAATAAAAGAAATAAAATTTCTTTATTGAAAAGTTCATATCAGAAAATAGATGCACTTAGATACATACATATTTTGGAAAAAAAATAAAATCAATTTTACTCATTGATTTTTATCAAATATTTCTTTACTTAATAAAAAGCTTCTTTTTTTCAATGTATGTATCTGGCGAGGGTAAACATGGGATACAGTGGACAGATAGTATGCAGCTGGTTGATTTAGACTTCTTAGATGATCTGGCTCTTCTATCGCATATGCAACAACAAATCCAGGAGAAGACTACCAGTGTAACAGCAGCTTCAGCAGTAGAGAGTCTCAATATACACAAAGGGAAAAGCAAGATTCTCCGATACAACACAGCATACACCAATCCATTCACAATTGACGGAGAAGATTTGGAAGATGTAAAAACCTTTACATATTTGGGCAGCATCATTGATGAACACGGTGGGTCCGGTGCAGATGTGAAGGCGTGGATCGGCAAAGCAAGAGCAGTATATCTACGACTGAAAAACATCTGGAACTCAAAACAACTGTCAACCAACACCAAGGTCAGGATTTTCAATACAAATGTCAGGACGGTTTTATTGTATGCGGAGGAAACCTGGAGAACTACGAAAGCCATCATCCAGAAGTTACAGGTGTTTATTAACAGTTCCGTTGGCCAGACACTATCAGCAACAACCTACTATGGGAGAGAACAAACCAGATCCCAATGAGGGAAGAAATCAGGAAGAAGCGCTGGAAGTGGATAGGACATACATTGAGGGAAGCATCGAACTGCGTCACAAGGCAAGCCCTCACATGGAATACTCAGGGCCAAAGGGAACGAGAAAGACCAAAGAACACTTTACGCCGAGAAATGGAGGCATACATGAGAAGAATGAACAAGAATTGGATAGAACTAGAAAGGAAGGTCAAGGACAGCGTGGGTTGCAGAATGCTGGTCTGCAGCCAATGCTCCATCGGGGGTAACAGGCGTAAATAAGTAAGTAATTTTATTATACTAATTGAAGGAGCTTTTATAGATATCGTGTTGGTTTTTAGATTGTAAGTTGTTATAGATTAATGTGAGTTGGGGTATTTACTAAAAATTAAAAAATAGCTGTTTAGCTGTATTATGAAGCGTCTTTTCAGTAGAGACTTATAACCTTACTAAGGATTAAACGAGGACTTTCAAAGTCCCTCAATGATTGACTAACCATTAGAACTGATGGTTTAAAATCTAATGATCAATAAATTTGCGATCTAAAGCGATAGTCGTCTAATATTACTGGTAACAACTCCTTTACTCTTTATATATATATACATATATATGTATGAATTCCAATAGCCACATCGGGTTAAAAATTCAGAAGTAGATGAGATTTCGCTGATAAACATAAAGGTTCTTGATTTGACTTTTGGTTGAATTGTGAGTACCCACTGCTGAGACTTACACTAGTATAAAATAACTATATATTGCTCCCTGATTTTCAGTGGTACTCCTGATGATATAATCTTCCTTCAACCTGACCAATTTTATGGATTATTAATTTGCACATATAATTGTAGAACCTGATGAGAAATTATTAAAAAGAATATTCTTCGTTCATGTAATGGTGTTTTAAAATTGAGATTAATGATCAGAAGAAATATGGTTAACATGGTGTTGAAGAGTTAATGATGCAATTACAAATTAGAAATCATGTAATATGTAGAATTAGAAAAGAACGGGCAGATGCTAAATAACTACCTCAAAGCGTTTGTATGTGTTATAACAATAGTGATAATAATGGTAATAACAACAGTAATAATAATGTGTCTAAATTTAAGCTATGAAAATGCATAAAGGAAGGTTGTATGAACATTAATTGAATATGATCAAAATGATTATAAACTAATTGGGCTAGAAGTTGGCCAAGGTGAAAGGAGTGATTGAATATATTTTTTTTCTGAACACAAAGCTCCGGGTTTTTTATTAGAATGACTATTGCTTCAGGAGTCTGGTGGATTTAGTCAAACTGATGTTAACACAATATATTATTGTAGATGACTGCTCCATATTAGTTGTATGCTCCGTTTGTACTAAATGAGCTAAAATCGAGCTGTTAACAGTTTTAACTATACTTTTTCTTAACCACACTAGGAGGTGCTCACAAACAAGAAAATACAAATTCCTAGAACACCTGCCGATAAAACTTGCTCCACAAGAGCTATTAAATTGATAGATACAGAAAAAAGTGGCTAATCTAGGTAATTTAACTTTCATTCTTGGAGTGATCATCGGACATGCAAAAACACATTAATTGTAGTTTTCCTTCACTAAAAGTTCTTAGGTTTACTTTTTTTAACTTCAGTATTAGCACTTCACTGAGCTCATCGCCTCCAAATTATGGGCGTTTATATAGAGACATTTTGCTCACATTTGGGCCTCCCTTATACTATCTTTACATATCTAAATGTTTATTCATAAATTTCTCCAGATATCCATTTTTCTTCAGAATAATACTCAGTACCTTCGTTACTTCATCAACCGCATCGAAGAAGCATATGGTCATGGTTCTATAATGAAGTGTCTTTATCAAGTTCCTCCTATATTGTAGAGAGAAAAACTAAGAAGAACTGTATATTGGCCGGTTGAAGTAGATTTTTGTTCAAGTTTCTTGTTAGTGATCCATCTATTCTCTTTGTAAGTAGAATATCTGGAAAGGCTATTCTGTCTCCACTTTCTTCGTCACATAGGAATTTAATAGATAGATGAACTTCATTAAATCATCTAAGTGTCTCTATCCGGTCAGTATGATCGCAACAATGGATAGACGTGTTGTCCATATATCGACAGTAAGATCAAACTTGCCGATGTTCTGTGCTGATGGATCATTTCCTAATTTAGTGAGGAAAATATAAGCCAACATGGGACCTAGTGGTGAACCCATTGCGACACCATTTATATGCCGATATATTTCTCCATTGAATTTGTAGTTTAAGTTCGTAGTACATTTCGGTAATAATTCCTTCATGATATCCACAGGGATTGTAGTCCCTATTTCCTGTTCTCTAAATTGTTCATAAAGATATTCAACAGTCTCCCTGTGTGGTACATCTGTCTACAACGATGTTATGTCCAAGAACGTCATCATCTGCCCATTTAGTGTTTATGTTTTTGATCTTTTTCTGGAGACTTACTTAATTACGCCTGTTATTCCTCGTGAAGGAGCATTGGCCACTCACCAGCGTTCTCCATCTAACCCTGTCCTAGGCAATCCTTTCTAGCTCTTTCCAGTTGTTGTTCATCCTTTTCATATCTGATTCTGTTTCCCGACATAATCCGTTCTTTGACCTTCCTCTTTTCCGCTTCCCTTCAGGATTCCAAGTCAGGGCTTGTCTCCTGATCCAGTTTGGTGATTTGCGTAATGCATGTCCTATCCATTTCCATCGTCTTTTCCTAATTTCTTCTTCAGCTGGAAGTTGGTTTGTTTTCTCCCGGAGAAGGCTGTTTCTGATGGTATCCAGCCAATGGATGTTGAGTATCTTGCGTAGACATTTATTTATAAATACTTGTACTTTCTTGATGGTGGTTGTTGTAGTTCTCCAAGTTTCAGCTCCGTACAGTAAAACTGCCTTGACGTTCGTATTGAAGATTCTCACTTTGATATTGGTTGAAAGTTGTTCTGAGTTCCATATGTTCTACAATTGTACTTTGCCAATCCTCACCTTTACGTTTGCATCTGATCCCCTTGTTCAACGATGATGCTTCCCAGGTATGTGAAGGATTCTACATCTTCCAGAGTTTCGCCATCAAGAGTGATTGGATTGATGTTCTCCGCTTTGAATTTGAGAACCTTGGTTTTCCCTTTGTGTATGCTGAGGCCTACTGATGCAGAGACTGCTGCTACACTGGCTGTCTTTATCTGTATTTGTTCGTGTGTATGCGATAGGAGGGCTAGGTCATCTGCGAAGTCCAAATAGTCTTATTGGTTCCGAGCTGTCCATTGTATGCCGTGTTTTCCCTCAGATGTCGAGGTCTTCATAATCCAGTCGACCACCAGAAGAAAGAGGAAGGGAGAGTGTAGACAGCCTTGTTTGACTCCGGTCCTTACTTGGAATGCATCTGTCAGCTGTCTTCCATGCACGACTTTGCACTGTAGTCCGTCGTATGAGTTCCGGATACTGTTGACAGTCTTCACAGGAACTCCATAGTGTTGAAGAAGTTTTCATAACGTTCTCTTATCTACACTGTCAAATGCCTTTTCATAATCAGTAAAGTTGATGTACAGTGTTGAGTTCCACTCAACTGATTGTTCGACGATGATCCGTAGTGTTGCAATTCGGTCTGTGCACGACCGGTCCTTACGGAATCCAGCTTGTTGATATCGAAGTTGGGCGTCTACTGCATCCTTCATCCGGTTCAGCAACACTCTGTTGAAGACTTTCCCTGGTATTGACAGTAGTGTAATGCCTCTGTAGTTTTCACATTTGCTCAGATCTCCTTTCTTTAGAATCTTGACGAGGTGTCCTTCTTTCCAGTCCTTCGGCACTTGTTCCTCGTCCCAAATCTTTTTGAATAGAAGATAAAACAAGTTCGTAGTTACTTCGATGTCTGACTTCAGTGCTTCAGCTGGTATGTTGTCGGGTCCTGCTGCTTTCCCGCTTTTGATTTGTCTGATGGCCATTCTGATTTCCTCCGTCGTTGGTGCGTTGACATCTATAGGAAGATCTGTGTGTGTTGCTTCGATGTTCGGTGGATTCACTGAAGCCGGCCTATTCAGGAGTTCCTCGAAGTATTCTACCCATCTGTTCCGCTGTTGTTGAATTTCAGTGATTGGCTTGCCTTCTTTGTCTTTGACCGGCCTCTCTGGTTTACTGTATTTCCCTTCTAGTTTCTTCGTTGTATCGTAAAGTTGTCTCATATTTCCTTCTCTAGCAGCTTTTTCCATCGTCGTTGCTAGTTCTTCCACGTACTTCTTCTTGTCGGCTCTAATACTTTTCTTCACTTGCTTGTTTGCTTCTATGTACTCAGCTTGTGCTTGGACTTTCTTTGTTCGTGTTCGGCTGTTGTTAATTGCTGTCTTCTTGTTCTTCCTTTCTTTGATCTTGTTCAGTGTTTCTATAGAGATCCATTCCTTATGATGGTGTTTCTTTAGGCCCAGAACCTCTTGACACGTTGAAGTCAATGTTTCTTTGATGCTTTTCCAGTTGTCCTCCATAGTAGTTTCTTCTTCCTTCAGTAGATCTTGTAGGGCTTGGAACCTGTTATTGAGAGCTGTCTCGAATTCGTTGAACTTGTTAGTATCTCGAAGGACGACCTTATTGAACCTTTGTAGTGTTATTTGTCCAGTTATCCAGTTTTTCTTTAGCTTCAGTTTTAAATTGGCCACAACTAAGTGGTGATCTGAAGCTATGTCAGCTCCTCTGCTGGTTCTCACACCTTCCATTGTCCCTCGGATTTTTTTATTGATGCAAATATGATCTATCTGGTTTTCTGTGGTGTGGTCCGGTGAGATCCATGTAGCCTTGTGTATACGCTTGTGTGGAAATATTGTGCCGCCTATAACCAATTTGTTGAATACACACAAATTTGCAAATCTTTCTCCATTTTCGTTTCTTTCTCCCAGTCCATGTCGTCCCATAATATCTTCATATCCAGTGTTGTCTATTCCGACTTTGGCATTTAGATCTCCCATCAGGATGGTGAGGTCCTTTCTTGGACATTTCTCAATGATTGATTGCAGCCGCTCGTAGAACTGATCTTTAATGTCGTCGTTGCTATCATTGGTGGGTGCATAACATTGGATAATATTCATTGTGATCCCCTACTTCTTTGTTTTGAATGATGCTTTGATGATTCTGGATCCGTGAGATTCTCATCCAACAAGTCCATTTCGTGCTACTTTCGACAGCATAAGACCGACTCCCTGAGTGTGTGGAGCATTTTCCTCTTCGTGACCGGAGTATAGCAGCATCTCTCCCGTATTTAGCCTTTTCTGTCCAGCTTGGGTCCAGTGGGTTTCACTGATTCCCAGTACTGCCAAATTGTATCTCCTCATTTCCGTTGCTATTTGACTGGTCCTTCCGGTTTCCCACATTGTTCGGACGTTCCATGTACCTACAAAAATTTTTGCTCTGGTTGCTAGAAGAGGCATCGGCCTCGTGGCTTCCGAAGGAACTCAGCTTTCACCATGAGGCGTCACAGTTCTTCTATATGGAGACCTTTTAACTCCCAGGGCAGAGTTAAAGTGGTTTGAATTATTTTTTCTGGCTGGCGTATTTTAGCGAGTTAGTTTTCTACGGGATGGGGACGCTAACCCCATGCCCAACCCTCCTCCTTTACCCGGACATGGGACCGGCAGCAAATCTGGAAGAGCTACAGGCGGAGTTATCTTGTTGGAGAACTAGGATATACTCTTAATACTATGCTTCACTAGGTGTTTGTGGAATGGTTTTAAAATGGCTACTAACAACCTTGTTGCAGTATGGTAGGCGGAATTGTACATGTCCTAAATTGGTCTCAATGGGATATCCGGTTTGTTTACCGAAGATAGTCAGTTAAACCTTGATAAGTGATCACCTATCGACCTCCTCGTTTCGTATACGTATCTAAATAATACATATACAGTGAAATTCTGCACTCTGAATTGTTTTCTCTTCTTGCCTCCACTTGTTTTGCCTACGCCGTGCTTTTGCTACACTGAAACTCACATACTTTCTGATGGTTGTTGCAACATCGACGCCGCGTTCTGCTACATGCTACTTGCAAACAATCTTGTGAGTATCGTCCACCACAGTAGGAAAGTTCCTGTTCTTTTATCTTATAATTTCATTTAATTCATAAGCTTATTCAAATTAACAATGGACTTGGTTTTAAAATCAATAAGTCACAAATTGTTATATTAGATCACGTATTTACTGTTTTTTTCCCACAGTTTTCCGCATTCACATTCTAACTTGGATAGTATTTAGTCCTTAGACATTTAACCACCAGCATATTTCTAAGTTATTTGAGCAAATATAAATGATTAGAATTAGCAAAGCCAAATAGAAAAATAGGGACAATGTTCAAGAAAAGAAAAGAGAATCATGGCATGCACGAACATCATTTATTGGTCAAACGCCATGAAATATCTTCGCTCATACCAAAGTACGTCGACAACTGTGAACACACATTCGACTGGAAAAATGTTAAAATCATAGAGACAGGGATTACTAAGAATACCGGAAAATTTTTAGAAGCATGTCACTCAGGTCAATCAGCAATCAACAAACGCACTGAAATCGATACAATTTTTCAACCAGTCGGAAAAAACATAAAATAAACAAATATAAAACCAAGAATCAGATCTAAGAGAGATACAACCAAAAGAAAGAGGTAGAAATTTTGTCACCAACTGACATTAGCTATCGTGCTAAAAAGTTAGAGTTAGGTAATAAGAGCTAATCTGAGTTAGGTTTACAAATCAGGGTTCTGATAATCATCGTTTTCTTATCACACTAACCAAATTCCTGTGTATTTAATATTTTCACTAGTTTTCAAATATAAAACGTGAACTGTCAGAAAAAAGTAATTACAGAACCTTCGTAATCTTTTATGTTATTGTAATCTTATTTGTAATTATTGTATGTATTCATCCTAAGTGGTAAAAAGTGACTGAAAACAAAGATGTGGAAAAGGATTTCGTTCTTGGTAATTCCTAAAATAGCATGTGGGATCGTGGATACATGTTACTGAGAAGTCCCGAACTGGGATTAAGCAGCTGTCTAGTACCCTCACTGGTTTATAATGGGGCCTCAGTTGACATCAGTCGGTGACGAATGCTACTTCGACATGGTAGTCGTGTTTGCTTAGTTTGATCTGCCAGTTGAGCTATATTGGTTGGAAAACCTGTTTGTTTAGATTTTACTAAGCCGGGTAGGTCAGCTGGAGAACAGTATGATTAAAGGAAGAAACCCATGGTCTTAGGGTGAAATCGTATTGCTAACTATACTGGGGTGTGAAAATAGTAAAGTCGGGGCTAAGATCATACCTCACCTTACCCCAAACATTTAAGTAGTTGTCCTTTGGTCTATGAGGTCATGTTTCCTTACCGCTAAGATCACTGCCAATCCAAGTCCCCTTCTATGTGGATCAAGGGGTGTCCTCTTACAATGTTGGCAATTGAGAAATAATAATCGCCCTTGTATTTCTGACAATAGCATAGTTCCTCTTGTTCAAAATCAAATCTCTTCCTCACTTAATGTTCCTTTTACCTCCACTATTATGCCTTTTTCTACAGCTTTTCTTCACCTATTTGCTACACCGTTAATAATGATTCAAGTTCGTAAAATTTTACTGCTGATCTCCACGTTCTAAACTACATGTTGGAGCTTTCAATGTTCCAACATTACGGCAGACTAAATAACAAGCTCCCCTGGCTAGAACTTTGGGATGACGCTCTCTCGTCGCTATGACCTCTATACGGGATCCTAATGTGGTTATATACTTGGCCTCGCTAAGTCAAAATAATGGACGGTCATAATTTATGCTCCGTGTATCTGGGGTCCTAACTTCCACTTCTCGTGGTCTCAGTAGCGTGGGTATAGCGCTATTTTCAGGAGCAGAACACACTCTCCTGGACTGGATCCCGGGTGGTAGTCATCTACACACTTCCAACTTCAATCGTACAGTAAGAACTCAAAAAGCCATGGACACGCGCCGTTGCTTCTCAGTTATCTCCTCCTACACTCCCACTGACTATAGTTCAGATAAAGTGGAAGATGAACTTTATAGGATCCTTCCCATCCTCTAGCAAAATGCTAATCGTTCAAATGCAATAATAGTAGCAGGTGACTTAATGCTCATGTGAGTAGCCTAAATTAAACTAAAAGACACTTGAATGAGTCTTGGAGTTTCACAGCTGAACTAACGAACAACGGTGACCGTAAACTGAAAGCATATTCAAATAACTATTTGTTTCTAGCAAGCCCTAACTTTAGGTAAAAATAGAGGCATCTTTTAACATGCCAATCACCAAAGTCGAATCAGCAAAGGACACAAATAGACCACATTACTATCCATCAATAGAAAGGTTCATCAAAAAACAGTTGCTCATTCTGGAGTACATACTTAGGCTCTAGTTATTTTCTAGGACGAACACGTGTTTTTAGCATCTTACTGGAGTCAGAAAAGCCAAGGCAAGGAGACTTCTTAGAGATAAAAATATCCAGAACATACTTTAAAAGCCAAAGAAGCAGTTAATCAACCACTAATTCAAGTTATAATTATATTCGATCAGCAGTGGTTTAAATCAAATGTTTGAGAGAAATTAGTGGATTCCAGTAGCAACTACTTAATTGATGAGTGCTCGGAAACTCATCTTATCAGGCTCGGAACACTGTGAGGAGTGAAGACAATATAAACATAGGCTGAAAAACAATCTACGTAGTTATCGTGAGCAGGGGAAGCAAAAGAGAAGGAAAAGGTAGTAGAGATAGGCAACAATAGATAATTTTTCTGACTTGGCAAGGAAACGGATATTAGGACTTTTAGAATCGGTAGAATTATTTCTAAAAAAGCTGAAACAATGACTCTCTCAACCCAAATGACTAGAACGACCACTAGCACAATTTGGAGAACAGTTGATCTTCCCTCCAGCTACTCTTCATTTACTTTCCTTTGCCAAGTAACCTGGATAGGATGTTAAAATAGGCCTTCTAACTCTCAATAAAGTCGAAATATTGCAGCTAATCTAAAATGAGGAAGAACAAAAGGTCCTGAAGGGTTAACGTCGAGGATCTTTAAGGCTGTAGTCCAGTTTTAGCAGCTAGATTGACTAAAGCACTAGCTAGAATTTGGGTACAAGACCGTTTGATTGGTCTGGATGTCTGACCGTTCCAGTCCATAAGAAGGAAGAAAATTCTTAATGAGATAGCTACAGAAAAGTTAGTTTGACCTAAATGATATTCAACATATTGGTTACACAAATCATCTTAAGTACAACTAAGGCTTTTGTGGAAGAAACTCGGAAAAACTAGAGTGATCTCAGATCTGTATGTGAATGCATTGACGAAGTATGGTTGAGTCAGAGCTTATGGAAAACTGTCATCAAAGCTGATAGCTTCAGGTGGTGTTCACCAGGGTTGTCAGACTTATTCATTTCTATCTAACTTTGTCGTCACAGTCGTTTTGGAGATAACACTTTCATAATATGACCTTTCGGGAATTGGTTTCCCACCAGGCGGTTCACTTTTTAACTTAGAATACGGAGATGACATAACCTTGTTTGGTTAATACGCTGAAGAAATACAGTCTTCTTACCACCTAAAGAAACAATGAAAGCATTTTTAGGTGTGACTCTTTCCCTCCAAATGCAAAATATTCCTTTAGAGCTGATCTGAATCAAACCTTGAACTAGTGATTTGGAGTGATGCAGCTGAATCGTATGATCACTTCACCTACCTTCGAAGAATCACCAACCCTTATGAGTCTCTGTCTGACAAAATCTCGGGATAAATTCAGCAAGCTTCCCTAGCGTTCGCAACACATGTCACTTGAAGTAAAAAGAGGCACCCATCTATCAACCAAAGAACGAGCATACTTCGCATGGCTTTGTTTCATAGGTGTGAAAAATTGCTGTTTATAATTAAGGATAGCCGTGTTTGTTGGGACCACTATATATTGAAGTTAAATTCAAGGTACCCTGATGATGAATACTGACTAGGGTAAGAATGGGTCCACAAAGTCAATGACAAACCGAGTCATGCTAGTAGGTACAAACTATACCGATTATCGTAACCAATGGTTGGAGACATTGAGTGACATGGCTCAGAATCATTCTCAGTGGAACATCCAGATTCACTTTTTATCTTCCTTTAGATCCTAAGTTTCATATTTACCTTTGAAAATTTTCATTATTCTACAAATCTATATTTTCATTACGAGTTGTATCTTTTATGTCCGATTTTTTCTACTACTACTACTACTACTACTACTACTACTACTAATATTGTTACTACTTAAACTATTCTGTCACCTCAGTATACCAATATGTTGTGACAGCTTGAACCGATAAACATGTGTGACGGATTCTTCGTTGAATATAACAGTTTAAATGAGAAATCGACTTTAGCTGTTCAGTTCAATTAATTTAAACTGGGTTAAGAATTATTATAGATGGTTTCACCTATACTCAGTTTTACAATAATAAAATACTTAATATATACCAAAGTTTAAAGATAAGTTACTATTAAAAATTGTACATAAATAATCTTCATTTGTGTTTGTTATAGAATATGCTATAAATATATATAACTACTAAATAGTATTCAGTAGATATCTTATGATATAAAGCAAAGAATGATAAAGCAGTAATTAATTTCAACTGTATATATAACCATAATGTTTTAAATATATTTCAAAAGCAAGAGAGTAATATAAACGAGTCCAGTACTTAACTTAACTTATTATGGATACATCAGTGACACTAAAAGATAAATTCTATTCTTAAAAAATAATCTCAGGAATTCAATTTAAAATAACTCCAACCTTTCACTTGACATTCTTATACAAGCTTCTTCATGAAAACCATCCAATATCAAAAATTTACTAGTATAGGGGTTGTGGAGATTATTAAGTTTTTTGATTGAAATCATGAACCGATTGATGTTAGACCATCACAATTGAGAACCTGGAAGCACTGGACGGCCGTTTCGTCCTATTGTGGGACTCTTCAACAGTGCGCATCCACGATCCCGCGAGCGGGATTCGAACCCAAGGCCTTCGGTCTCGCGCGCGAACGCTTAACCACCTGGTATTTCTTTATGAATTCGATGTTCAATTAATTGTGAAACTAATCATTCAAAATTCTTATAAAATCATACATTGCCATAAACTCTTGGTAATGGAGAATATAGATGTAACGATATTTCTAAAGAAAAATAAATCAGGTTTAGTTTTAAAACACAACAACTTATCTGAAGGGGTTTTTGTGGATATTATAGTAATTTCAATAGTTGAGATCATGAGTCCATGAAGCTAGACCACCATAGAAAATCTGGAAGCGTTGAACAGCCATTTCATCCTACTGTGGAACTCCTTAACAGCATCCACGATCCCGTCTCGAGAGATTCGAACGCAGGACTCATTAGTCTCGTGCGCGAACGCTTAACCTCTAGACCACTGAGCTGGCGTTCAACGGTGTTAATGTCTAACTTCAACTAATTCACGAAATCGAGTGACACATCCACCATTGTCTTCAGTGAGTCCAGTACTTCTAGGTTTCCCATGGTGGTCTAGCTTCAAATGACTCATGATCTCAACTATTGAAAGAACAACTAATGTTAACTTTTTACATTCATGAAATTTATATTTCTTACAAACCTT